TGGGGTCCTGGGCATGGTGTGCGTGACAGAAGGATTGCAAGTGGGCTCCTATGGGCCCTGCCTGGCACGGGGTCCCTGGCAGCAGCAGGTGCAGTGGCACCAGGCACACAGGCCACCTCCTTGCTTTCCAGCTCTGCAGCCATCCCGCCAGTACCTCAGCTCCCATGCATTTGCCAAACTCGTGTCATGGGCTTCAGGCTTGACTGGAGTCAGCCTCAGTGTGCCCTGCAAGGAGACTGGCCAATTAATAAATAGGGCGGCATGTGAGTCATCTACCATGTGGGGCACCCTGGCTGCCGAGACACGAGAGTGGTGCACCAGGCAGAGTAAAAGCCCATGGTTGTGAGCTGATTGAAACACAGCCCCGTCCAGGAGGGATGGTCCCCATCGAGACGCCAGCAGGGACTTGCGTTATGGGCAGGCAGTGCTGTTTGGGATCATTCGGAATCATTTTAAGATTTTTCTGTAGTTCATCCCTGATATCTAAGGGCAGCACTCTCTGATAGAAATACAGTGTGAGCCACGTAGGGATAAATTTTATTTATTTATTTATTTAGTTTCTTAGAGATGGGGTCTTACTATGTTGCCCAGGCTGGCCTTGAAATTCTGGGCTCAAGTGATCTTCCCACCTTAGCCTCCTGAGAAGCCAGGACTGTGGGTGCATGCCACCGTGCCCAGCTTGTCACTGTCATTTTTAATCTTGGAATGTTTGCCCTATTGCTCTATTGCCATGTGAAAAATTTTGCTGACAGCTGGGAAGCCTCTGGTTCTTCTGTAAAGCAAACCTCTCTTTACAGTGACTTAATAATGATTTCTGTCAGGTAGAGAAGAAATCTTAAATGAAAACCCTAAATAATGTTTTGGGCTTTCTGGTAGGTTTTAGAAGGAGACCTTCTGGAAGGTAAATGGTAATGCCATCCAACCCTGGCAAGTTCTTAATGAAACTAATGATTTTAATAGGCTGATGTTATTACTCCTTATAATTTATATCCTCATTACAAAATTGTCTGCTCAATGTCTGCTAAATTCCTATCAGTCTTGGGAGGCTAAACTTCCTCTTTAGTTCCTGTTGCAACCATGACAATTTTCTCCTTTTCGTTTGAAAAGAGTGGCCCCAAAGGCCCAGGGGTAAGAATAAGTAGTGGCTGTGACAGTCTGTGGACATCAGGATCAATCTAGGGAGCTTTGTGCTAAATCATGTCAAGCTAAGAATTGGCTACATAATACCACCTGAATGAAAGAGAGAAGTAAGACTTATTTGCTTATCCAGCGTACTTCTTGATCTCACAGGAAATAGTAGGGTGCTATCTTAGCTCCTGTCAACCTCACTCTGAGAACCTGGAAAGGACAGTGTACAGTAGATAACACCTTGGGAGGAGGAATGGAGTAGAAAGATCTTTGCACCAAAGGCTGGTGCTGGAATTTTGCACCCGAGTCACCACTGATTTGCCTAATGGGCCTTCCACCCAAATTTGGTCCTCCGTGTCATTTTTGCCCGAAGATGTTATGAAGACATAGGGAGACAAAAGATCTCTCTCTGAGATCCAAGGGTAGCAGGAACCCTGCATTCCCAGGAATGGTGTTCACACCACTCCAGTGCTCACTGTTAGGTCCTCAAGCAAATCTCACAGCCTGGCAGCTACCTAGGGCTAGAGCCAGGGCACACTCTCCTTTTAGAAGGATACCAGGTTTTTAAACCTTTCCATAGGTAGACTTGTGACTGTCCAGATAGCTGGTAAAAGGAATAATAACTGATTTAACATTGCAGCTTCTGATTAGTCAGGACCCTGGTTCCCTGGGCTGCCCAAAAGAAACTTCAGGGCTGTGTTCAGGGAGCTGCCCACATTCCTGGTACCACTTCTTTCTGTACTAAGCAGTGCAGGCTGAAAGCATGGAAGCAACTAAGTGAAGAGAATCTACGGCTTTCGAAGTGCAGTTCTTTAGTGTACGGGCACTCCGTTGCAGAGCGCATTTCTCTCCTCTGCTTGGGAGATAGTAGATGAGAGGCCCGGGCATGGTGGGAGCCACTCCAGAGGCCTTTCCCCTCAGATCCACTGCTCTCTGAAGATTTCTCTGGAAAGGAACCAGCCTCTTCCCAAGGCTTGCAATGGTAATCTGTTTATTAATATTTATAGCTTTATTTTTTACCCTGATTTTCAAACTAATATATTCTTGTTTCTCACAAATGCAGAAAATGCAGGAAAGTGCAAAACAGAAAATATCACCTCACCTCTCAGTTTCCATGGTTACTCATTGTTAATGTTCTGGGTCTTTTCTTCTGAGTGGCACTCCTGGCACTCTGTAATCTGTGCTGCATTGGTTCATGTAAGCAAGTCTGCTCCTTATTAGGAGAATTGGACAGCTACCAAGGGGAAGGGACAGATTTTGTGCCTCTCATAAGGGGCATAAAAATTCCTTCTTGCTAACTGGTTAGGAGCCAGAATTTTGGTTTTAAGTTTATTCTACTGTTTTTATACATGTTCAAATGTCCTTTCTTTTATAAAATGTTATATCTTTAAAAATGCATATTTATCGTATTTATTAGATTTTTAAGCTCTCTGAGGGTTGTAACTTGTGCATAGCACCCCACTGTATATAGCATGGACCTTTATACAACAGTCCTGAACCAAGTAGGACTCTCATCTGTTAAATAGTCTCAGCATTCTGAACTCTGTCCTATTTAGGCTGACTGGGGTGGGCTGAGGAGGGGAGGCTAATACAGCCCAGCGAGGGTCCAGTTCTCTATTAAATAGAGGTATTCCATCCTCATCCTTAAACTTGAGGCCTGAACATCTTGCACTGCTTGTCAGAGGTGTTATAAGAGGTAATATCTTAAGGAGTCATGTACTCATCAGGTCCTTAGGAAACTGACACCTGGCTGACAGATCTTTAAATTTACTACAGTAAGTGTTTAATTAATTTCTATTAAATGGAAAGCCCCAGACCAGGTGTTGGGGATACAAAGCTGACTGTGACACAGTTCCTGCTCTCCAGGAGCGACCCTGTCCAGTGTGGGCAGCATGTGGCAAACGATGACTGGCTCTAAGGCAGCTTGACGAGTGCTGTGCTGATGGTGTGGGCACTGGTAACAGTGGAGGGGAGAGTCAGTCAGGCCTAGGCTGCTGGGGAAGCTTTCTTCTCAAATGTCAACCCTTAGCCAGTTGTGTTCTAGCAGGGAAATGGGTGGGTCAGCACAGATAGGCTTTAGAATTATGGCGTGATCTTCAAGTTATAAATACCCGAATAGTGACCACCTCGGGTCTATAAAGAATTGTTTTACATGGCCGCCTTCTGTACCTTTCCGCAACACCTCCCACAAGAAGCTTTGAACCAACATCTTTCTTCATTGACTCCCCTTCCTTCCTCAAAGGAATCGTGCCACATTGCATTGCTAAGTCAGTTTTTTCATATTTATTTTAAATTTTAATGGATAATGTATTCACATGGTTCATAAGTCAGCAAATATAAAAAGATAGCCAGTGTACACTCTTGTGATAAAAATTGTAAATCAAGTTTCATTTTACTTGTTCCAGGTGATCATTTTGGTATTCTGTCTCTGCTCCAACCCCTGCATGTGTGGATAATCACTTTTATTGGTTGTCTTGTATATCTTTCCTTCCAAAAACTCTTTATGCAATTATAAGAAATAAAAATATATAATCGTATTTTCCCTCTTTGGTACACAAGAGTTAGGATACCATGCTCATGCATGTGGTCTTGCTCTTCTGCTCTTCTGTTCTTTTAGCATTGCGTCTTGGCCATCTGTCATTTCAATATATAGAGCGCAGGTTCTCAGGCTTTCTTGGTTCTTGGCACCCTTAGCGTTGCCCTAATTTTCTTTACCCTGTCTCTAGACCAACAGAAATACCTAACAGTTTAGTTTATTGAGTATTAGTATTTAGGTCTAAGTAACAAGCCTTCATGTCCTGACAACTAATAAACATTTGAAAGAATAATACACATAAATTGAAAAAATTTTTTTCATTTTATTCTTATATGACCACACTTACTTGTGAGGTGCGTGCACTGTTGAGCAGTGTTCAACTTCTCAAGCCTTGGAATCAGATGGGACACCACCACCCTCGTTTCCTGTTCTGCATTTCTCCTGCTTTGCAATTTATGCAATTTTCAATGGGAATATGTGGAAATTGTGAGACAAATTTTTGAGATATAGTCTATTTTCAGATTTGGGTGAGTTTGCCTAAGAAACTCCCTTAATAAAACTATACTGGGTTGAAGTAGCTTTCAAGTTAATAGATTCTTTTATCTACATAAGAGAGGGAAAGAGCCAGTCACAGTGAATATCCAGACTGAGAATCACCCCACTTTGTCTAGGGGACAGGTAGCCCACCGCTCTGGCAGCTGCTTGGGTGGGTCTTTTTTGAAGTTCTTTGACAATGAGATTGTTGACAGTGAGGCTGATGGCTTAGCTCACCCAGGCTGCCAGCTCCCTCCTAGATCATTTAGCTGCGTCTCTTTTATGCTCTGCCTCAGTTGGTGGTGCTGTCTGAGCTTCTCCCCTCTTCCCTGTCCTTCCTTTCTTTCCTCCTTTTCCTTCTCTTTTTCCTTCCCCCCTTTCCTTCCCCTCCCTTGTCCTCTTCCTCCTGGTTCTTCCCCCAGTTCTCTATGAGTCAGCTCTTCTCTGGGCTGCATTATGGACCTACCCTCTTACTTGTAAGTTTGAAGGACTGTGAAAGCAAAGAGAACTAGGAGATTAAACAATCAGAAACTGTTAGTCTGATGATGGAATTGTTGCAAATGAAACTGTGCATCAGTCTTAGGAAATTGATGTTCAAATAATAAATAGCAGCCAAGCAGAAATAACTATCTTCAGTAAATACACTATATTTGACAATGGACTTTCAAATACATTATTTCATTTAATCTTTAAACAATACTGTGAGGTAGATATTACCATCTCAGTTTTGTAGTGGAGGAAATTGAAAGGGTAGAGAAAGAAAACTGTTATTTTTTAAAAAATATATATTTTTATTTCAAAATATTAAGGGGGTACAAATGTTTTTGTTATATGGAAACCTTTTATAATGCTTAAGTCGGGGCTCTCAGTGTGCCTATTGCCTGAATAGTGTTCATTGTACCCAATAGGTAAGTTTTTAACCCTGCCCCCGAAAAAACTGTTATTTTTGAGATCCCATCATGTCAAGTCCGTTAGAAACTTTCAATGACTTGCCCCAGATGACATAGCTAGTACGAGGTAGAGAAGAGATTTGACCCTGGGTCATTTAATGAACTTTGTGTGTACAGTGCATATACTAAACACAAGATGAATACATGAAAGTTGGACTTCTAAAGGCTAATTTATGCCATAAACTTACTTAAACATTTTTCTTTTTCTTTTCCAGCATCTACCACAAGCCTAAGTGGATCTGACAGTGAGACTGAGGGGAAGCAGCACAGCTCTGACTCTTTCGATGATGCATTCAAAGCAGACTCCCTCGTGGAGGGAACTTCTTCTCGCTACTCCATGTATAATAGTGTTTCCCAGAAGCTTATGGTATGTCAGTGTTTGGGTCGTGTTTCTAAACCTCCACCAACAGAGTGAGAGAATGGCAATTTGTATTGGTATGAAAAGGAAAATAGGGCATGGGTTTTTCCTCTGCTTTTCAGCTACTGAAATTTAGTAGACAGAGTGTGGGCCCCTTCTCAATAGAAGTATCTGTCGCATTTGAATCATCTATGGGAAGTGCCTGTTGAGGCCTGTTTTTCCTGTTCTGTCCAGAGCTGGATTGCCTTTTGATATCTGTAGTAATTAGTTCTTGTTATAAGCACGTGTGAATATACTTTCCTAAATATGAATGTGTGTCAATGTATAACAAGGCTTCGTGCTGTGAGTTTTTGCTCTAGTGAGTAATTGCAAAAGAAATGACTAAAATCCTGTTCACTCCCAGGTAGCTAAAATAAATGGAAATATCCCATTTATTCTCTTGCCAAAAGAAAGCCTGATTCTCTTTCTCAACTTTCATACCCCACTGATACATCACAGGAAGGAAGATGAATAGGAAGACCTGCTCACTTTCCTTATCCTAATTTAGTATATGTGCAAAGGTTAGGGAAATCTAAGTTTGCTTTCTGTCTAGCTTCAGGAATAACCTATTTGACTCCTCCATTTTCTGTTGGATTCATTTAACAATGAGAACTGCCACTGCTAAAGTTGTAGGTCAAGATTCTAGTTTTGGAGCCACAGGCTTTGGGGAAATGAAAGATGGGAAGGCTTCTGACTCAGTCAGCCTCTTTGACCTGGGGGAAGGATTTGTGGCTACCATAGGAATTCCATACAACTCTTGAGCTGGTAATGCTTCTTTCAAAGGGAATATAGACCCTCCAGGCAGAGTTAGATCTTAGGATTGGAGTTCTTTTATTAGTCAAGAATCTGTGGGGTTTGGGATTCAAGTCTCTGATCTTTGGGGTATGAGCCTGGGCCCAGTAACTCTAGAGTTTAGTGTGAGCTTATAGACAGTTGTGACGTTTTAAAAAGCGTTTGTCTCAGGATCTTGATAGCATTAATACCTTCCCTATATACATAACTCAGTTTTACATGAAGCGAGTTTTCAGTTATTTTCTTGATTAAGTAGGCTCCTACAAGCCCTCATTGTCCTTGCCTGGTAAGACATTTGACTCGATAAGGGTAAGGTAGAAGTTTCTGCTTGAGGTGGTTCCAATTTAAATTATGTTCTCTTTATCAACTCTACTCTAGATCTACTTCTCACTTAATCAGACAAATTAGCTGGAAGGGTAAGTTGTACAAATGTCCATTGAGATTCATTGAGTACTCTTGGTGCTTTTAATTACAGCTATGAGGTCCCTTCTCATTTATCCAACTTCTGGTTGCATTAGACTTTCACCTCCAGAATAGACAGCCACTGGGCCCACAGTTATACCACAGTTATTTATTTATGCTTCTTTTCTTCATTAGGCTAGAAGGCAAGCTTTAGACCTTACTCATCTATATTTCTCAGGATTTAGCACACTGTCTGGCATGTAATAGGAGCAAAATAAATGTCTATTGGATTGAATTAATTGTGCTCCATTACTTCTCTTTTTCAGGCCAAGATGGGCTTCAAGGAAGGTGAAGGACTGGGTAAATACAGCCAGGGTCGAAAGGACATCGTTGAGGCTTCTAATCAGAAAGGTCGAAGAGGCTTGGGTCTGACCCTGCGGGGCTTTGATCAGGAGCTGAACGTGGACTGGCGAGATGAACCAGAGGTAACTGGTGTGGGGAGGAAGAGACAAGAAAGCCACTTGTGTTTTTGGATGCATGGTTTTAAGAAGGCATATTAACAAACTAGAAATCGCCAGAGGCAGCGCGAGCAAGGTGGTTAGTGGGGGGTGCAACTAGTTTCTTACGTGGAAGTAGAAGGGATATCCAGAATGGAAAGCAGAAGACTGGGGGAGATGTGACAGAAGGTGGATTTCCTGTTGTGTTATAGGACTGTCTTAAGGCCAGTGAGTAGAAGATGCTGCAATGCAGAGTTTGGCTCCACAGAGAACTTTAATAAATAGATTCAGCTCTCCACAGGTGGACTGGGATACCTCATTAGGTAGTGGGCTCCCTCTGCTGAAAGGATTCAAGCAGGCCAAATGAGCACCCACTCTCCCACTGTGTGAGTGACTAGGTTACATGCCTTCTAAGAAGGTCCTTATAGTTCCACCGGTTTTCTGCCATCCAGGTTCTAAATAGGTGCTTGTTTATGCCATATAGCTTTTTTACTATGGGATTAGTCTGTTTATCTACTTGGGTATGAATTTGTTTTAACCCTGAAAACCAAAAGAAACTCTTATTATCCCTTTTCATGGCATAGATAATGTTGAGAATTTATTTTTATTCATTTACTTATGTCTTGTCTTATTCCACAAAGGATTTGAAGTAGGTATAGTAAATGCACCTAAAAATCATGATGAGAGGCCGGGCGCGGTGGCTCATGCCTGTAATCCTAGCACGCTGGGAGGCCGAGGCGGGCGGATTGTTTGAGCTCAGGAGTTCGAGACCAGCCTGAGCAAGAGCGAGACCCCGTCTCTACTAAAAATAGAAAGAAATTAATTGGGCAACTAAAAATATATAGAAAAAATTAGCCGGGCATGGTGGCTCATGCCTGTAGTCCCAGCTACTTGGGAGGCTGAGGCAGGATGATCACTTGAGCCCAGGTGTTTGAGGTTGCTGTGAGCCAGGCTGACGCCACAGCACTCAAGCCGGGCAACAAAAGCGAGACTCTGTCTCAAAAAAAAAAAAAAAAAAAATCATGGTGAGAGATTACCATTACAGAGTTGAAACTAGAGAAAATAGAACACAAATGTCTGGCCTTCCACATAGTTGCTGTAGTTGAGCTTTCAGATGTGGCTCTGAACACTGGAAAATTGGCATTTTATTTGTCTCCCTGATGTTCTAGTTCAGGAAAGAACTCCTATGAACCTGCACATGATAAAAGCCTAGTAAGGCTTTAGAGTGAGATTCTGACAAGCCAGGAGCTAGTGGGTTCTGGGGGTGGTCTCGCTGTTGCCTTGTAGTTGTGAGGCAACACCAGCTGAACAGCAACGCAGACTGGGGTAAATGCTTGTAATTGGTAGGTATAGACTTTTGCCTCAGGAATACCTGGTGCTTTCCATGTCCTCATTTGTGTGAAAACAAGAGTCCCCATCCTTTCAGTGAGGCAGAATTTGAACTATGCTAAACTTGAAATCTGAAATTTGGCCATAAAGTCTGTTTTTAATGGAGACAGGCTACTGAAATTCCTTTTTGGGGTGAAGCTGTCGCAGTTACCATTTACCATCATTTGATTTTTCTCTTACAAAAGATACCCTGCAAGTAAGAGTTTGGTCCAACTGTCAGTTGGTAGCGACTTCTTCAAGGCAGATGAGTCTGCGTGGCCTGCGGCGAATATCCAATCCTGGGGCTTACCGCAGGGAGGGTGCTTGGTGGCCACTGCAGCCCAGGAAGACGGGGTGCAAGGTTCGACCCTTCAAAGCCCGCTCTGTAGGCAGCCCTGATATTCGGACTTCCATGGGGAGACTGAGTCTGCTTTTTCTCTTGAAAGGGTGATACAAGTGTGTGTGAGCTTTTTTCCCCCGGAGTTTATAATTTATAACCATTTGTGCTTTAAAGGTAACGGATTTGACCGGGGGAGAAGCCATGATTCACTGCCAGATTCATGGACAAAAGGCTTCAGTAATTTTTCTTTTCAACTTTTTCTTGTTGATGGTGGTTGGCTTGCCCTCAAGACTTTGCATTGTGATACCATTTTATGCCTTTCAGAGCATGTAATATTACCTTTAATCACATTGCTTTGATTTGCAATGGCGAATCTCTTCTTCACACTTGCCTGGGAGGCAATATGTGAAGCTGCCATGCAGGTTAGCCACCTGTTTAAGTTTTATAATCCATATTTCTCTAGCCCGGTGGTACATAGCCCTGCCCGCACCATATATCTGGGGACTTTTAAAAACTTACATTCAGTCCCCACCTCAGACCAGCAGAATTATATTCTCTGGAAGTAGGACCCAGGCTCTAGTACTTTTTATTTATTCATTTTTTTGAGATGGAGTCTCACTATGTTGCCCAGGCTAGTCTTGAACTCCTGGCCTCAAGCAATCCTCCTGCCTTGGCCTCTCAGAGTACTAGGATTATAGGTGTGAGCCACCACACCCATCCACCAGTACTTTTTAAAAGCCCTGCATATGATCGTACTGTCCAGCCAGGGTGGGAAACACTGCTTTAGCCTGATAGGGAAAGTAATTGAAAAAATAAGAGGAAGCAGCCATTAGAACTGCTAGTTTCTCCTCTGTCTTCGAATGAATGGGCTAGGAGTCCTATTCGCCAGTTTCTGGGTTATTTGTGAATAATACTTTGAAATACATCAGGAGGTGAGAGTCATTGCCATTATGTCTTCCTGATGTGATTATCTTACCAAAGACTTACATTGCATGTGATCACCACCTGTTTGCTTCTTTGTGTCCCCACTGCTCTCATTATAAAGGTCAAGGACCATATCTTACTTAACTCTGCATTGTAAGCGCCTAGCATGTAGTAAGTATTCATCAAGTAATATTGGAACAAGTGAAAAAAACCTCGAAGGTCTGGGAAGTTTTCTAAGGATTCAAACCAGAATTGGAGTTGGCCTTCAGAAGTTAAACTTTAGAATTTTGGCTCTCACGTCTCATGTCTGACTACTGCATTTGGCCTCAGCAACCTGGACCCTTCTTAGTCTGGCTCAGTCCCTCTTGATTGTTTTGGGGAAGTCCTGATGACTTGAGGCATAGCCCCAAGGGTCTGTCTTACCTGACTTACTTGCCCCTCTTTTTGTTTGTAGCCCAGTGCCTGTGAGCAGGTATCATGGTTTCCAGAATGTACCACTGAAATTCCTGACACTCAGGAAGTGAGTGATTGGATGGTTGTAGGAAAGGTAAGATTTCAGGAAAGTATATGCTCAGTTTTGGCCCTCTCGTGATTTTTCTCTTCCTTTAGTCTGGTATGTACATGTATTTGCAGTTTAAAATGGAAAACAGTACCACTCTCCTCACTAAATTTTTTTTGGAAATAATGGTGATTTTTCATAAAAATATGTTATTTATGTTAATATAACATTCTTTTAAAATGAATTAAATATTTTTAAATTTTCTCAATTTCTAATAATAGAATTATTAGAATTTTAAATAATAGATTACATATCTATTGTCTATCCCATATAACAAAAACTCTTTGGGATCCTTAATGATTTTTAAGAGTATAAAACCTGAGACCACAAAGTTTGTCTGTCATTGGTTTAGAGGTAGCTTCACTCATACATGGGGTTGGACTTGACATCCCCATGAGATGTCAAGTCCAACTTGAATACTTGTTTGAATCCTTGTTTTCTGTAACACTACCAGGTCAGTGCCTGGGATCGTGCATTTGTACTCATCACAGAGCGAGAGGCTTCCTGGTGGGAGGACAGGCTTATGTCATTTGAGGCACTCGCCATCCTTCTGCCTCTGCACTCCAGGGACAGACAGCTTGAATGTCTCCTTCCTGTTTGCTTTTCCCAGTCTCAGCATTCATGAGTCTTGTGTCCATATGGTGCTCTACTCAGAGCTCCCAGGGGGCTGCTTCATCTCGCAGCCATCTGTAGTATAGCCAGAGGGATTTAGGATTTTCTCTTTCCCACCCTTTAGGGATTGATGTTTCTTGGTGGGGGACTCAAGCCCCTTTTTGCTCTACTCACTTGGAACCCTAATTTCTCTATTCCCCCAAATGCAGTCACATGTGGTCATTTGTTGTTTTCTTCTCCCTGTAGAGAAAGATGATTATTGAAGATGAAACAGAGTTTTGTGGGGAAGAGCTGCTTCACAGTGTGTTGCAATGTAAGGTAAGCCCTTGTGGCCAGAGCCAGACCGGAAAACCTTGTGTGAGGTGATTTGCTGAGCATTTCCATTTCTCTTTTTGAGTTGGTTGTGATTTTTCCTGGAGATCAGATGTGTAGCTTGGGTCATATCCCCAAGTTGTCCTTTTTCCTGGTGACTGTCCTGCCTTGTAGTATTGTGCTGTCCCTGTGGTCCTTAAGTGGATCCTTAACCTTAAGGGGTTGGTTCGTTGTAATCCTGAGGGGCCCTGGTGTAGCGAAAGGTTTGGAATCATTCTTTAGCACTGAGTAGACCTGGAGTCAAATCCTAGTTCTGCAGCTCTTTTGCTGTGTGACCTTGGGCCAGTTGCTTTAGCTTCTCTGAGTTTGAGCGTCCTCATCTACAAAATGGAGAGAAAATACTTCTCAGGGTTGTTGTCAGAGTTAAGTGAAATAGTGCGCGTGAGGCACCTGGGTGGATGTTAACCCTCCCCCTTGATATTAATACTTTTCGGCCTGATCGTGGGTCAGGGAGCACATTGCCTGGGGCAGAATGAGCCAGGGAAACTCTGAGGAGGAAATGAGTTGGAGAACCAGGAAGGCCTCAGACCAGCTTCACAGGGTTGGGAATATCTAAAAGGTGACTGGAATTCAGGTGATGTGAGGATCTTTTTCCAGAGAGGAAGGTGGTAAGGGGAGTTTGAAGGGAGAATGGGTCTCTACTGTCTGGTAGGTGCGTTTAGAAAACCCTGGTCTTGGTTTGTTTCTCCTCTAAGTGAGCGCCAGTCAAGTAAGCCTTGACATCAGAACTTTGGTCGCTTGGAAAGTTGCTCCTGGCGTGGAGTGGGGAAGCAGATTTGCTGTGAGGAGTAGCAGTGCCCAGAGGTGGCTCTGTGTGTAGCAACAGGTGCTATCTTTTAACCGCTTGCCATGTGGCAGGCACCTGCTTACATTTTGTTTTTTACCATTTTACAGGCGAAGTAGTTGAGGGTCAGAGCGATTGAGCAGCTTGTCTAGGGTCCCACAATTCGTCATTTCAGAGCTGAGATGCAGCAGGAGCCTAGCTCCTTGGAGGGCTCTGAGTTAGGCTCTGCAGCTCTTAAGACCCCTGTGCCATCCTGTAGGGGCTGAGATGACGCTCACCTTGAGGTTCTGATTCTCTCTGGACAGAGTGTGTTTGATGTCTTGGATGGGGAGGAGATGCGGCGAGCTCGGACTCGGGCCAATCCCTACGAGATGATCCGAGGAGTCTTCTTCCTAAACAGGTTTGCTGACATTTCCCTCCCCTCCCTTGGCACAACTGCTCCCCGTTTTCATTTGAACTTCACCTTTCTATATCTATTGGTAGTGAGCTATACTTTTCAAAGATAAATTTCCACTTCTGAGCTCTCCCTGAGTTGCACTTTTCTATCTTGCTTTGTTGCAGGGCAGCGATGAAGATGGCTAACATGGATTTTGTGTTTGATCGCATGTTCACAAATCCACGGGACTCTTGTGGGGTGAGAACAAGATTCTGCTTCTGAATTCATGATGCTAAGTGGGCTTAAGCCTCAGTGGCTTGGAAATTGCCATTTTTTCAATGCTAGGAGAATATTCCTGCTATGTGATGGAGATATTTTGCTTTGAGCTCCTCAGATAGAGTCCCACAGTACTCCTGTGGTCCCAGGAGTGCCCCAGTAAGCAGTTTTCTCCAGAGCAACCGCTTCAGTCCCAGAGTTCCAGTCCCCAAATTCTGTAGATCGTGTTGTTCACTCCCATTGGAGGTGGGCAGGACTTGCAGCAGTGGAGAAGGGACATTCCTGGGCAAAATCAACAGCTGTAGCATCTATAGGCCTAGGAAGCAGGAAGGCGAGGCCATGAGTTAGGGCCTGTGCCGCCCGCCTGCATTTATCAAACATACGTGCGTCCAGCCCTGCTTTTTGCCAGGTACTAGATAGATCATTTGAATGAGATAGATGGGACCCCTGTTCCCATGGTACTTACATCTGAATGTTCTGGTGGATTTGAGAGCTGGTAAGGTGCAGGTTTGGGATGTTTGTAAAGCCTCTCTTACTCATTGGAGTTTGGAGGCCACTTACCACCAGGGAACTTTAGGCTTCCTCCTTTCTACCGTGGAGGTAGACTGGAAGGGTGAGTACAGTTCTTAAAGCAAGCTCATTTTCCAAATTGAAACCTGTGACGTCATCTGCTTTGGATGCAGTTTCTGATGTGAGAGAGGAGTACTCTGGGAAATGTGGTCTGTTGAATGAAATGTGGGCATTTTCACTGGTCTATTTAAAATCAATATTGTGTCTGAAAATCTAGTCTGTATTGCTGGGGTACAGTGGAGAGAGATGCAGCACTCATGAAGCAGGAGATCACTTAAATTCATACCTTTATCCAGCCTCAGCTGCCTCGTTCTGAAATAAGCCCTACTCACCTGCCAGAGGGCTGGGGTAGAACCAAAAGGCTCTTAAGATCTATTCCAGCTGTAAGATTTGGGACTCCAGACTGGGCCACATTCCCTTCCTGCCTCTCCAAACAAGCTTTGTGTGGAATCATAATTATGAGGCTTTGGCCCTTCTCAGAAAGTGGTAGAGCAAAATGATTTTCTACTCTGCTGCATCTCATTTCTCTGAACACAGACCCTCCATAGTGATAGAGAAAGAAAAAAGGAAATTTCATTCTCAAATTCCCCTCAGGGTTTCAAAGCATTCTTACCCAGTCCTAGTAAGTTAGTTTTCTGTGACAATGACAGGGCTAGAAGCCAGCTAGCCCCAAACCTGTTTCTGCTTCACTCACCCTCATTCCACTAGACCCGCTGATTATCCACTGGCTAAAGAAACTTATTTTCCAAATTCTTTAATGTTTCAGCTCCACCTACCTAACGGCTTCCTCCATGCTGGCAAAGCTAGCATATAGACCCCTCCAGCCTTTACCATTTTTCTCTCCCAGGTCTCCCTCCCCATTTCCCACTACCAGCAGGCAGCACACGGGGGCTTTTGGAATTAGCATCTTGAGAAAATTAGGTTGATACAATGTTGATTTAATTTTCTGAGCTCCAAATGATTTCCTTTAAACCCCTGCGTGGCAGAGGAGCTCTGTCAAGCTGATGGGAAGTCACAGCGTCTTTTTGGGCTTTTGGATGTAAATGCCTCCAGCAGCTGGTATCTGGTTATTGCTTTTTGCTGTCATGAAAATGAAGTAGGCACTGGGGTTGTACCATTCAGGTCGAGGGTGGAGATGTTAGTTACATAGGAAAAGGCAGCCGTGTTTGTGACGCTTCAGGCAGCTTCTTGACCCGAATTGATTGTTAGTGGCCATGGAGAATTGCCGTTTCAGAGATGTTTCTCTACACTCCACTATAAAAAATGATTTCCCTCGAGCCCCTAGTGTTTTCTTCTCTCTTTTCATCTCTGTTTTCCCCTGAGGACCAGAGTGACAGTCAAGCCCTGCAGGCTTGGTGTGGTTTTCAGGCGAACAGAGACACTAGAGCAGTCCCCAGCAGAGGAGCGAGTGGCTGAAGACCCAGGCACACAACCAGGTTTGCTAGTGGCTCTTGGATCAGGCGAATTATAGACTAAGAGCAGGAGAACTTGAAGCTTGAGTGTGGAGAGGTTGGGAGGTGGTAATGGGGGCAGTTGGGGGTGGGGGTAGACTCTGAAGTTTTTAAATAGGTCTCTGGTGCTGCTGCCGGTTGTAAAAGGAAAAAAGGGGCTGGTGGGGGCGGGGAGAAGGAAATTGTAAACAAGAATTGGAAGAGACAAAGGAAGGAAGGGAAGTTAGATCCTTAGGGTGTATGGAAGCATATTATAAACCGTTACATTATGTCAGGGATTTGTGTGCCTGGGAATGTTGTTGAGGTAAGAAAACATTGTGAAACCTTACAGAAGACAAAAACTGAATGTAGATCTTGAATCCTACAACAGCCTTGAGAAATACCTGTATTAGTCCTAATTTACAGTTGAGGAAAGCTGGAGCTTAATGACTAAATTGTGTGCTTGCCCTCGACTACACAGCCAGGAAGTGGCAGAGCTGGGAACACTAACTGCCCTTCCTGTGAAGAGACCTCCTGGCCATGGCCTGTGAGGGCCACACATCTCGAAATCACAGAATGAGATCATATTCGTGCCCTCTTTTTGGAGGCAAGATGCTCTCATTGATCATTCCCCATCCTTCCCCCAGTCTTCCTTTGGACCAGCGGTTCACCCAGAGAGGCTGGAGCCTGGGGCTCCACGGCCAGCGCTAAGGAACAGTGTTTTCCCTCTGTGGTGTGCAGGCTAAACTCGTCAGGCCCTGCCTCATCACCACTGTGCTGACTTGAAGGTGCTCCATAATGTTCTTGCTAAATGCCATTAGGTCTTTTGTGTGCAAATGAATATAATCCTAAAATACGAATAATTGATGGCTCAGGAACAAAGGATGCTAGGATAGAGTAGTGGGGAACAGGGGAAAGAACTGATATGGCCCAGCATGCCTGGGGTGGGCTTGTCACAGGATGATGAAATTTATTTTTAGCTAAAGTCACTTTCTCTGGAGACTTTTTCACTATTTTGATGAAGCCAGATAGCTATCATCAGAGGCAAGGCCCTGTCACCTAGAAGTGACTGGGCTGTGCACATTAGTATGTCTATTTCTTTCTTATAACTGTTTCCCCTAAACCTTTCTGATCTTTATCTAGCAGTTGCAGAACTCTAGGCAAGCACTTGGCCATGCCAAACCTGTAGAGAGGGAAGGCCGAGGTCCCCAAGCCCCTTACTGCTAAATGTTTGTCACAATTCCAGGCCAACCATAGTCCTCTGTGGTCACCTACTTGTAGAACTCAACCTTTTGGTGTCACCAGTGCGGACGGTCCATCCTCCCTGCTGTGGAGAGTGGGCACAATTCGCTGTCTAGGGCTCAGGTGTGGGTAAGAGCATCTCTAGCATATGGACCAGTTCTGGGCTCAGCATTTGAGGTTAAGAGATAAAGCTGTTCACGGGGCCAAAAATGTAATCACATCAAGATTCACGTGAGTGTTGTTTAGTCAGTCCCGAGGTGGGTGGGCACTCTGAGGGTTGCCTGGAAGCTGCTGCTGCTGCACACCAGTATTTCCTCCCCTCCCTGCCTTGTCAGCTTCCAAGTGCGCACTGCCCCAGCCTCCCGGCTGGCACCGGGCAAAGGCAGGAGAAGGAGGATGGGAGTGCAAAAAAGGAGGGAGACCAAATGAACGTGGTATCTCAGATTAGATCCTGGAACAGAAAAGGATGCTAGTGAAGTCTGGAATTTAGTTAATCGTGATGTGCCAATGTTGGTTTCTTAGTTTTGACAAATGTACCATGGTTATATAAGGTGTTAACAAAACTGGAAACTGGTTGAAGGGTATAGGAACTCTACTATCTCAGCGACTTTTCCGTAAATCCAAAGTTATTCTAAAATAAAAAGTTAATTGGGAGAAAAAAGGGGAGGAGAGCCAAGGAGGAAAGGGAGCAAGGAAGGCAGAGCCCATGGTCTGGAAAGGCAGGTCCTTATGGATGGGAGGAGGTGACATTAGAGCCCCCCAGACTTTGGCTGGACAGGAAGACCTGAGTTTCGAGGTCAGGCTGACTGGATTCTGATTTAACTTTGTGGCAGACTGATCGTGAGCAGGTTACTTCGCGACTTTGTGTCTCGGTGCCTCTTTTTCCCTATCTGTAATATGGGGCGTACAGCATCTGTTCTGCTCAGTGGGTCCCTGGAAAGAGAGGATGTGGCGAGGAAAAGACGCTGAGCAATAAAAGAATACATATTCAGATACCCACGAAGATACTTTTATTAGGAGTCTAAGCTAGGCTTTGTCATGTGGTAGGTATTCTGGGTATTTTAAGGGTGGGTTGGGTGATAATCACAGATGATACACTTCCTGGGATGTTGTGGCCCTGGCAGGGGCTCTGGATTATATTTGCTGAAAGGCTTATTTTACTCTCCCTGCGTTCTCCTTCCTGTTCCCCATTGAGCCATCTTTCCTTCCTCCCTTGTCCTCCACTTGGCTTTGCAGAAGCTGCTGGTGAAGGACCGGGAAGCTGAGCTGCTGTACTTTGCTGACGTCTGCGCAGGCCCAGGAGGCTTCTCAGAGTATGTGCTGTGGAGGAAGAAGTGGCACGCAAAGGGCTTTGGAATGACTCTGAAGGGTCCTAACGACTTCAAGCTAGAGGACTTCTACTCTGCCTCCAGTGAACTCTTCGAGCCCTACTACGGTAGGGACACTGAGGAGGGGGTACTAGGAGGTATGAGGGACATCCCCTCTGTGGGGACTTCAGGTTGGAAGCAGCTGTTACCCACATGCTCTGCTTTCTTTCCTAGGTCTCTTTGCCTGGGATTCACAGTCCATGTCTTGAGGGTCTTGGTTCCCTCTGGACTGTCCCTTTTTACCCCAGGCCTGGAGAGTACAGGTCACCCTGCTTGGCAGACTCTCGTCAAAGCCATGTTAATTCCTCCTTTCAGGAGCACTCTTCTCTTGTGGTGGCAGAAGATAATGAAACTGCCTGATCTCTGGCTGGGAGCTGGCAGAGTTATTAACAAATATAAACCCCACACACATCTCCAGCCGTGTGTGCCACGTGTGGAATGGGCTGGGTATCAGACACTCAGCAGCCCCACAGCAGTCCCTCTACTCTATCTTGATTGCTGCGATTTGGCAGCAAATCCTAAGTGCTTTCATAACAGTCTTTATTTAAAATTTGATATTGGTTCCTATACGTGCTTTAAACACAGCTTGGGTCTTGAAGAGAAAGGCGCTGTTTCAGTTGATGCCTCTTGGCTGGCCAGTTCCTTTTGAACTCTGGTTTGTTACAGCAGGGCACTGTTCTTCCTCCTGGTCCATCACTGTAAGGCAGCCTTGCAGGATGGGCCTCAGGTCTCCAAACTCAACCCGATGCCTGGGTTCGCTGTCCCAGAGAGCTCGGGTCCCGGCTCCTGCATATGTAGGGCACATGAGCTCACTGTGAATCTTGTGTCCTGCCAGGTGAGGGTGGGATTGATGGAGATGGAGATATCACCCGCCCGGAGAACATCTCTGCTTTTCGGAATTTTGTCCTGGATAACACAGATCGCAAGGGTGTCCACTTTCTGATGGCCGATGGGGTAGGTGACCTTTTCTCCATAGAGTGATGCATTAGGGATTTGTTATTTTAGAGGTTTGAGAATTGTTTTTGTTTTATTTGGTCCTTTAACTGTCCCCTGAAGATAGTAGTCCACTATTCAGATAGTCTGGAATGTGCATTTTATTATTTTTATACATATTTTCTATGATAGTTTTGTGAAGACTGTGATGTTGTGGATGCCTTTACCTGGAGCAAGGTGGAGCTTGTTAGCTCGCTTTGTCAAGGGCCTTGGTTTGCCGTGAGACATGGTGGGGCAAGGACCACGACTGCAATCAACTGGGCAGAACTGAGTGGGAAGAGCATTTCCATCATTTGTCATCTCGGTTGTGTTCCTTGTGGAGGCTGTATGTGGCCACTCCTAAGCCTGTCTGGTCTGACACATGGCCATATAACCAAAGACGACAGCTTAGGGGAATCCCGGGGAGACTCAGTTGCTGGGCTGAAGTGAATATTCAAGGGGCCTGTGTTTGGGTGATTGCTTGAGACAGGGAGGGGAGGCCGTTGCAGCTGTGTGCAGCAGCAGTTTTCACGCAGTCATCTGATACACAGGCAGTCCTTTCTGGAGTGAGCCACCACCTAGCCTGGAGGAAGGACAGACAAATGTGGCAGTTGCTCAGGGTCAGATAGCTAGAGTAGAGAAAAGCCTCTGGGGCTCTGTAGGTGCCCTCTCCAGCATTAGCTGTGTGCAAAGTGAAGGGTGGCAGGCAGGATGTCAGCATGGCATCTGAAGATGCCCTGGCTCACCAAAGTGCTGTGCACAGCAGGGCACGACAGGTGGACAGGCTTGGTGCTGGCAGTGAGGGAAGGGCCGCTCTGGCCGGGCGGGTGTGAGGGTCTGATAGCGCCATCGTGCTGTGAGGCAGCCATCGCAGTGTGGCAGCGAGAGGTGCCAACTGAAGGACTGTGTTTCTGCCCCAGCAATGTAGAGGGGGCCCTGGGCTTTTTTTTTTGTTTTTTTTAATCTTATAATCAGGCATGCATTTTGAAAAGTGTCTATAAGTCTGGAAGACATTGCTAAACATTTTTGATCCTGAGCCCTTTAGCTGTTACTTTTATAGGACTGAGTCAGGGAGACCTGGCCTGGCTGGCGCCAGTTTAACAGAGGCCAGCCTGCTTTTTTTAAAAAATTTTAAGTTGTAAAAAAAAAAAAAGTAACATAAAATTTATCATCTTAATCATTTTTAAGGGTGTACCTTCCAGTAATGTTAAGTATATTCACTATTGTGGAACTGATTTTCAGAACTTTTTCATTTTGCAAAACTGAAACTATTCCCGTTCAACCTTCCCCCTCTTTACTTTTATGTAAGCTTGACTCTCTGCTCCCTGCTGGGATCTCACAAGGAGGGAGATCATACTCTGGGAATAGCAGCACATATTCTTTGGAAAGAGGCTCCATGGTGTTAGGATAGGGAAGGGGGTATTGGTCAACAGAGAGAGAGATTACTGTCAATATCAGAGTTAGCTTTTCTCCTGTCATCAGACTGGGGCCTAGTCAGTAGTCAGCGCTGTGGGTTAGTGAGCCCAAGCAGCGTGTTCCCAGTACGCTTCCTTCCTGGTCTTGTCGGGACGCACCAGAGCATTCTGTTTCCTGTCTCACGGTTGACCTGTGACTAGCCAATATTTTGCCTCTGTTCTGCCTTACTCTTCCCTGGATTCCCACAGGGGTTTAAAAATTTTCTGGACCATCTCCTTGGAAGAGCAGACTTGGGTCTATCCTCCGAGAGGGCTAGAGCAGGAAAGTGGCACTGGTCCTGTAGTGAAGCCTGGATTCTAGTGCTCACTCCGTCTGTGATGCGCCATGTGACCCTGCCAAAGTAACTTAAACACTGAGCTCTGTCTTTATCGGTCAGACGGTAGTGAGCAGTGAAGACACAGGAAGAACTCTCGATGAAGATCAGATAGGGATGTTCTTCTCAGTCCTTACCGTTTCTCTTTCCTACCCTAATCCTTATGCTCTTGTTTCAGGGTTTCTCGGTGGAGGGGCAGGAGAACCTGCAGGAGATCCTCAGCAAGCAGCTACTGCTGTGTCAGTTCCTCATGGCGCTGTCCATTGTCCGGACAGGTGACGACTCCTCAGCCATCCCCTCGCCCCAGGACCCACTAAAGCCCCTATTGGACAAGCATGTACCGGGGTTTGCTGGGAAGTTAAAATCTGCTTATATCAGGTGACAGGTGGCTAAATGAGGACTTTAGGAAAGCAGAAAGGGCTATAGAATCCTCAAAGTCTAAAGCCGATTCTCCCTCTCAAATTGTCTCTGACAAAATGGACCCAGGTGCTGATTCCTTGACTTTGTCATATTTACTCCCTGAAACTACCTTACCCATCTCCCCAGGAATAGACCCACTGATTGCTTTTGGTGTTTTCTCTTTAATCCAGGAGGCCACTTCATCTGTAAAACCTTTGACCTGTTCACACCTTTCAGTGTGGGGCTTATCTACCTGCTATACTGCTGCTTTGAACGAGTATGTCTCTTCAAGCCCATTACCAGCCGTCCTGCCAACTCAGAGAGGTGAGGCCCTTGTCTCCAGTTCAGCCAGACTAGTTGGCCAAATGTCAGCACAGATCCCAGTGCACGTCTCTGGCATGACCTCTCAAGCTATAGTAAAAACGTTGACTTTCAAGCTGTGATGAGAGCCGGTGGGAGTGAGGATTCTTGCATCTCATTGGTTCTGTGTTGTGTCAGGTCAGCCTCTGCCTTCTCCACGAATCTTATTTTCCACACTTATGCGGGGTATTCCTAGCTTGGCCCAGGAGAAGGTGACCAATAATGGTGACATTTGGAGGGACATGGGCTGGGAAGGGGCAAGGAGACCACTATCCAGAGGCACTGCTGGCATCCCAGGTGGGACATAGTGCCCACACACCAGGTGAGAGAAAATACAACCAACAGAATTGCCAGGTGGCTTGTTAGAAACACAGACTTCTGGGCACCATCCTCGGAGAGTGATTCATTAGGTCTGTAATTTAACAGGCTCCCCAGGTGGTGGTGATCCAGCCTGTCTGGCACAGGGCAGTGAGACCCACCGCCACAGAGAGTGGAAATACAGCCTAACCTAAGAGGGAAGGATTCAAGTTGGATTATTTGCTGCACAAAGAGTCTGTGCTGTTCTTTGTGCATAGACTTAAGACTTAAGGTTGAACAGGGAAGCTCCTTAGCTTTGGGACTCCACGGGGGGGATGGGGGGAAGGGGATGTGTGGGGAGAAAGCCCTTGCTCAGTGGAGTGACAGGGTGTCTCCTGCCAGATACGTGGTGTGCAAGGGCCTGAAGGTGGGCATCGATGATGTTCGAGATTACCTCTTCTCAGTGAATATTAAACTCAACCAGCTGCGGAACACCGATTCTGACGTCAACCTGGTGGTCCCCTTGGAGGTGATCAAGGGAGACCATGAATTTACTGACTACATGATACGGTCCAATGAGAGGTAAGCCAGCTGGGTGTTTTTTACTGTCACCACTAGAGTATTAAGGAAGACCAGAGAATGAAGGACTAAATGACTGGCTCTTGGTATCACTTTGTCAACCCTGACAAATTGGTAACTGGGTTTGGTCTGCTGGTTCCAGGACTTCCTAGGACTTTGGTTATTTTGGGGACCCCATCCTGCTGCCATGCCCTATCCCAAGGGTGGCAGGTGGATGCCTGGCTGGTGTAGGCCTGCCCACAGGAGCCTGAGTATGATAGTGAAACCTTACAGAGAGCAGCCTGAGTCCCTGGAGGCAGGAGTAATTTCCTTTAATTACTGTTTGTAAAAGACCGTCACGGTGGTTGCCTTGTGAAGCCCCCTGTTGGGAGGCAGGAGATGGATGGAAAGCGAGAGTACAACATGCTTTGGAAGTGCCAAAACTTTGCCAGTTGATGAGTTCCCCAGATGGTGATCTGAATGCTGTTCTCTTTACCTTCTTTGTTTTCCCCACTCCTTATTTAGTGGTAATAATCTAAAGTTGTGACATTTGGCTCAGTTCTCTCTGTGGGTAGGCCTTAGTAAAAAGTTTTTTGAGGTAGGCTGGAGGGTTGTATAGTAGCAATGAATCAGTTGGAAGTGCTCTTTGGGGACCAAACAGGTGTTGGAAAGGCCATACCTAAGGGTCTAATCTCAAGTCTCCCAGAAAAGTTTGAAGGTATAGGTGGCCCTGGAGAATCATAGAAGGGGAGGAAGTCTTTATCCTGTTCTTTCTTATTTTTCCAGCATCACCTGGTATTTTAACTTTCCACTGTATTACCATATTAGCTCTCTCATCTTGATAGTATTGCTAGGCACCAAGGTGGAGCAGACACTAAACTTCAGCATGTTATAGATGAGGAAACAGGCCCAGGGCCCTGCCTAGCTGGGGCTTTGTAACACTTCTGGGCTACATAACACTTCTTTTTGCTGCACCATGCTGCCATCTGCTACAGGTGTGCATGGATACGTGACAGAACTGGACTTCTTTTCAGTGCTTCTAACAGCATACAGTGTTTAAGCCACCCTATAACCAACCACTTTTCTTTCTTTTTTTAAAAAAATTGAGGTGTAATTTCATAAGTGAAATGCACATCTTATATACGTCAATCAGTTTTGACAAATGCATATATCCACTGTAGCCTACATCCCTATTAAGATAAAAAAAATTTCCATCACCTCAGTAAGCTTCTTTGTGCCCCTGCTTAGTCAACCCCATAGTAACCCCTCTTCTGGTTTTTGTCATCATAGGTTATTAAATAGTTTTGCCTGTTCTAGAACTTTGTATAAATGGAATCATATAGTGCGCACTTTTGTGTCTGGCCTTTTCTTTTCTTTTCTTTTTTTTTTTTTTTTTGAGACAGAGTCTCGCTCTGTTGCCCGGGCTAGAGTGCCGTGGCGTCAGCCTAGCTCACAGCAACCTCAAACTCCTGGGCTC